CGATTTATTTATTTATTTCTTAAATATACATTCTGCCTATCATTCAAGAGCTCAAGGTAGCACACACAACATTCCCTCTTTCATTTTCTCCCCTGGGAGTAGGTTGGGCTGAGAGAGAGAAACTGCCCCACAGTCACCTAGTGGTTTGGTTTCCTTAGCTGAGAGTTAATTTGAACCTGGATCTCTCTGGTACCAGTTCAACTACTATACTACAGAATTGCTATTTGTGCAAAATTCATTCCACATAGGAGAAATAAACAGCATTCTCAATGCAAAACAATAATTGTACATAATGCTGACCTCAGAAATCGCAACATTCAAGGCATTCGATCGATGAACTTAAAGTGGCTATGCCTTTCAAAGGAATTTTAAAGGTGAATCTAGCAAAAACCTGTCAAATTTATACTTACTAAAAAGTTTCATTCCATCATTCTTATCAGTGGTGGGATTCAATTTTTTTTTACTACCAGTTCTGTGAGCATGGCTTGGTGGGCGTGGCAGGGGGAAGGATACTGTAAAATGTCCAGTCAGAGGTGGTATTTACCGGTTCTCTGAACTACTCAAAATTTCCGCTACCGGTTCTCCAGAATTGGTCAGAACCTGCTGAATATTACCTCTGATTCTTATGGAATAAAATTATTTTTAATTCCATCACAAATATTAACTATCAGTGCCTGGAAATTTATTAATGTTGAATGATCATTATAATTTAAAACATATATTTACTTTTATTTTAATTGTTCCTGTTGATATTTTGTCCATTATAGTTATTTCCCCTCAATTGTAACATTTACACGAATCTTCCCTTTACATAGAAGTTTGCTTGTATGTATATGTGAATATAAATTTTGCATTGCAGAATATTCAATAGTTTTTAAGACACGAGAAATCTCTGCTGGGAAGATTTATCCGGGACTACAAGTTTGAGCCTTAGGCCATAGGCTCCTCAAGCAATTTTCTTAATCACTAGAGATAATATCTGCCAAAGCCAGATGGATGCAAAGGAAATAGAGTTTCTTCACATCTGACATAGTAGCTGTATTAGTTAAACAGGAACTGGATTTGGCCAAAGAATCAGAACCAGCCTTCCAGCTTTACTTGACCCAGCTAGATAGATGACATCAGAAGCAGAGTGGAACTTAATTGATACCACTCTTGTGAAATAGATCGATATCCATATTAGCTGCTAACCACAGTAATTTTAGCTGGGCATCAGGGTGAAATTGATGCCACATGTCCAAAGCATGCCCAGAGGCTAGAATTAATGAAGGGATAAAAAAAAAAAAACCCTTCACTGGAATTAAACCTATCTACGGTCTAATATCAGTATCACCTTAAAAAAAAAAAATGACTGCATCCTGTTTTGCAAGCAAATGAGTGTATTTCTGTTACAGTCTAAGACTGTCGTGCATAATTGAGTAATACAACAAAGCTAAGAGTTTCATCCATCAAGATCCATTTCACAAACTATCCCTTTCCTTTTCTCTCTAAGACCTGACTAATTGTTCATTGATTTCAACCACCAGGTTGATCCTTGGTTCCACTGTATCAAATTGGAACAGAAGCTGTTCCGTAGACAACTGAAATTAAAAACAGAGCAATAATAAGATTTTTTTTAAAAATCTGCAAGAAATCAGTTGTTCTCCAACGGAAGGGCCAAACCATCCTGAATAACTACCAAATCCAACCAGAGACGCAGGGCTGCCCCTCCCTTATTCATAGCCCGAGGGGTGGCTTCTTTGCCTAATTCACTTTCCATGCTTTTTGCCTTCCCGAGCTTAAGCTTTTCTTTCCTCCTTTTCACACTGGAAAAATGAGAACGTCCTCATTCACGAGCTGTGTGGTTCTGCGTGACTTTAAGGCAAAGCCTGAAAATGTGATTTCTTCCCGCCTTTGTGCAAGCCTTTAAGTGCATTCAGAGGTTGAGTTTACTCGAGTGCACCCTGGCAGGCTCCTGGAAAGGTCAATGTGGCTCTCCAATCATCAGCCTGCATGGCTCTCCCTCCTCCTGCCTCCCTCTGGGGGCATGAATATAATATTGCACTACCCTGCAGTTACAATTAACCCCTGAGGAGCCCTAATCGAGCGCTGAGCCTGAGTTGACTGCCCTGAACATGCAGTCCCTATCTTCGGAAGGAAATGGGGGTTGCCTTTTCCCAACCTATTCCCAACCATTCCCCACTAATCATCTCGTGGCAGGAAGAAAAAGGAGGCAGTTAACTAGGATGTGGAGACAGACATCCACGAATAATGTAAGTCTCCCCAGACACAGCTGAGTAACGAAGCCTGTGAGATACAGATGCAACCTTCTCTCTTCTTTCTCCTTCTAGAGGACCTTCCTGCACATGCTTTCTACAAGCCACCCAAGATCTTCTTCTTCTTCTTTACATCATTAGGGATCAGTTCTAAAACATGCCACTTATTTATTGTTAAAGTGACATTTCCACCCACATTCTATAAAACGTCTCAACGTGGCTAACAACCAAGCATGAACATTAAAAATGCAACCACATCTCAACTTTCACGTACCACGAGGTACCACAGCACTACCCGAAGAATGCAAATGCTGAACTCATCCTCCATCATAGCCCAACGCTTAGAGAAAAGGCTGGGTCTTAATAGCCTTCCAGAAGGTAAGCAGGATAGGAGTCCCCTCCCCATCTTGCAACCGTAGTGGAGTGGTGGCCTTATAGGAAGAGCTTAGAACTGGAAGACCTCGTGCTATTAGAATCCTATCCTTGGCCTTGTTATACATTTTCCTTGACTGCATTTGGCTATTGGTGTAAACCAAGGGTCTTCAAACTTGGCAAGTTTAAGACTTGTGGACTTCAACTCCCAGAATTCCAGAGCTAACATGACTGGAGAGGGAATTCTGGGAGTTGAAGTCCACAAGTCTTACAGCTGTCAAGTTTGAAGAGCCCTGGTGTAAACCCTTCTGACTTAATGTAAGAAATGGTTGTAACAATGGCTGTCCAATGTAGGGGAATATTATAGAGATATATGTATTTACATAAATGCAGAGCTCACATAATGTAAAGATAATATGAGTTTCTATCAGCATTTCCTCCCCCCAAACCCGGATAATTTGTTGATAGTTACAAGAATTGGTATGTAAATCTATTTTCTAAATCTATTTTAGAAAAAAATGGACAAGGCAAATGACCAACCAACAACTGATTATTTTGCATGTAACGTGAAATAGAAGAAGATGAATAGTGAGTCTGAGCAGAGAGGACAAAGAAATGATCATAGCCAAGACATAAATATTGACATGACATGGTAATCAGACCCATCACATTATTTAATGAGAAAGGGCTGGTTTAATTAAATCTAAGCAAGAAGCCAAGCCTTGCTTATGAGATAGTTGAGGCCTGGGATAAATCTGCTAAGATACCTACTGGTGGAAACTGTTTCCTTCTTGCAGTAAAGAGGAGTGATAAGTCAAGCTTTTGGCTCACTGGCTGAATCCATGAGATAGCCAAAGCAATATCCAATCAGTCATGGGTGCGGGTTCAAATTATCTTGCTTTTTTGGAAGATAATAAGATGAATAAAATGAAAGACAATGGCTTTTGAAAAATGCACTGATACAGAAGCTTTAGATGCATTTAGCACATATATCCAGCACTTCATTCTTAAAAGGAAATGCATTAAAGCTATAAATGTGCCTAGAAGTTATGTTCTATGTCCCAAGAATCTTTGCACCTTAAGTCAGATCTGTGATTCCTGTTGTTTATTAGGGGAAAGAAACTATCCAAGCTGACATATTACCTTCATTATGAATTTATGTTATGGGCCTGAGCCTTTCTTTAAGGAATTTAATGCAATGCATTCTCCAAATTATGTCCTGCAGATTTATTGTCACTTAAGCAATGTGTTTAGGGGTTCACCTAAGAACCTCAGAACTGTTCAGGCAAGCCCCCAAAACACATTGGATATGTGGCAATAAATGTGCAGAATATGATCTTGGGAATACATTGCATTAATTTCCTTGAGGACAAAATGCAAGTTTTAAATGTTTTTAAATTGATAAATCCTTTCATCGTGCTACCCAAATACTTCAAGCCTCTGAATGTGTGTGTGTGTGTGTGTGTGTGTGTGTGTGTGTGTGTGTGTGTGAGAGAGAGAGAGAGAGAGGGGGGGGGGGAAATATAACATTTAAGAACAAATTGCAAGTTTTCAAATACATCAAGGCTTCTTCCCATCCAGACAAAGAATGTTTAAGTACCAAGAAAATTACATTGATCTGCCTGCTATCCATGTGAAAACTCTGATGCCTTCATGTTATTGGCTAGTCCAGAGGCAAAATAGGGAAACATAATCCAAAATGGCAATTTTAGCTCAAAAACACTGTCCTCGTTAATACCTTCCCCCCCCCCCTCAGAGTAATTCTTCCTGTCTTTTCCTGAGTTCCAATTATCTGGTAGGCAGAGAAAGCTGCAGTCAGACAAACTCCTAGTTTCATCACTTGTTGCAAACTTATGCTTCCTCTAACTCAAAAGCCACAGAGGATCATTATAACTTTCCAAGGGTTCATATTTGATTAGACTATCCTTGCTATAGCATGAAAAGAAACAGAGAAATGAAGCCAGCAGCATCTCCATTCTCTGTGCAGCAGGCAGGTTTCACTTACCAATTTACATCCTTTCTCCCTTCCTTTGTGTGCACTTTAATCTAATTTAGACTGTAAACTCTTCAGGGCAGGAACTTGGCTCCATCTAATATATTATGAAATGAGTCTGCCATGAGATAACAGGAAGCAATCAAATCTTGCTTTTTGGTGCCCATTGAGCTATTACACCCTAAAGGAAACTAGGAAAAAATAAATAAAAGATCTGCTAATATCTGCTAACTATCAAAGTCTCTTTATATTCGCTTGCTTTCTCCTATCTCTGGCTTCCACAGATTTAGAAAAACAAACAAGCTATTTTATTTTTTTTTATAATTCAAGGAAATCCAACTTTGATGCAATATATTTTAAAAAATGAAAATCATCTTTACCTGTGACAGTCACCAACATGGAGGCTACTAAGGGACGATTGTTGTCCAGTTTGCGGCTGAGTCGGAGTTCTCCACTGGTCTGGTTGACAATTAACAAGTGCAGTTCATTTCCGCGTTCAAAGGTGTAAAACAGCTTATCAGACACATCTGGGTCATAAGCAGGGATCTTCCCTATCACACCGGAAGGAAAGGTGTTGGATTTGTTGGAGATATAGTTGTTAAAGAGGATCTGGAAATTTTTCAGAATGGGAGTGTTATCATTCTGGTCAATGAGTTTCATGTGGACTGTAGCTCTGCTGACAAGGGGGGCAGAAGTGGCCTGAACCACAATGACATACTCAGGCTTGGTCTCATAATCCAAATCAATGAGGGCAGTGAGCTCACCCGAAAATATGTCCATCTGGAAGATCTCAGGGATATTGCCTTCCACAATTTGGTACATAATCTGGGCATTGGGTCCTTCATCTGGATCCAGGGCTGTGATTTGGGCCACGACAGAACCCACAATGCTATTTTCCTTCACAAAGACTTCAAACTCCTCAGCCGGAAAAACCGGAGCGTTGTCATTAATATCTTGCACCGACACTTGGATATGGACAGGGGTTCTTTGGGGAGGCATCCCCCTGTCCACAGCATAGGCAGTGAGTTCGTAAACAGGAATGCTTTCCCGGTCCAAGCTGCGGATAGTACGAATAATCCCAGAGGTGGGCTCAATAATGAAATCCCCATCCCCGTCCTCTCCATTCTGGAATGTGTATTGCACCCGTCCATTGGCGTGGGCGTCCCTGTCAGTGGCAGAGATCTGAAGCACACTTGTGAAGGGAGGGCTGTCCTCGGAGATGACACCCTGGTAGTGAGCACTCACAAACTGAGGGGCATTGTCATTGACATCATTCACCATGATTTCCACATAGGTTGTATCTGCTTTCTGGGGGATCCCGTTATCTTTCGCTGTGATGGCCAGGGTGTAGGTGACCTGGTCCTCATAATCCAGCTCTGCCTGCAGGGTGATGGCACCCGTGTTTGCATCAATCCGAAACTGGGGGATATTGTCTTCCAAGTAGTAGGTAATCCTGGCATTTTCTCCCACATCGTCATCTGTGGCACTGATCACCACCACCGTGCTGCCAATTGGACGGTCCTCATTAACGCTTACTGAATAATGGGCACTCTGGAACACCGGCCGGTGGGTGTTGGCATCCGTAATGTTGATATGAACATGGCAGTTGTCGTGCAGGGTCCGGTCAGAGGCTGTCACTGTTAGCACAAATCGCCTCTCTTGTTTGTAATCCAGGGGCAAAGAGAGGGTGATTAATCCTACTCCTCCTTGAGTGCTGATAGCAAAACGGTTCCGTGTGTTCCCACCTGTTATCTGATAGCTGATGGCACTATTCACATCCCGGTCAATCGCTGTTACACTAAGAACACTAGTCCCCACTGCAGCATCTTCGTTGAGGCGAATGAGATATTCTTTCTGGGTAAATTCGGGCCGGTTATCGTTTACATCCATGACAGTGATGGTGACACTAGCGGAAGCGGATAAAGAGGGAGAGCCATGGTCCCGGGCTTCTACCCCAAAAAAGTAGTGCTGCACAGTCTCTCGATCCAAAGGGCCACTCACAGTAATCCAGCCCGTGGCACTGTTCACTACAAAGGGGGTATCAGAAGCGACGCCAGTGAGCTTGTACTCAATGCGTGAGTTCTCTCCATAATCCGCATCCACGGCCTGGATGTGGATTACTGAATGGCCCAAGGGGGCATTTTCCAAGACAGATATTTGAAAAGGGGTGCTGACAAAGATAGGAGCATGATCGTTAATATCCACTACTTGGATGCTAATCATGCCGGTGTTATTGGACAAAGGAGGACGTCCGGCATCCTGGGCACGTATCCTCAAGGCATATTCTCGCTCAACTTCAAAATCCAAAGGAGCTACCACCTGTATTTCCCCAGTCACACTGTCAATTGAAAATTGTCCCCTACTATTACCACTGATGATGTTATAATGAACTAAAGCATTGTTGTCTTTGTCTAAATCAGTGGCGGTGACTCTTAAAATTTCTGAATGGGGCCTTATATCTTCTCTTACCTGGACTATATATCGCTTTTCACTAAATTGTGGGACATTGTCATTTTCATCAAGAACTGTTATATACACTCTAACTGTGGAGGACAGAGGTCCGGGCTCCTTACCTTGATCATTTGACTCCACCACCAAAGAATACTTCTCCATTTTCTCCCTATCTACTTGCCCACTTGTAGTGATCAGCCCTGACCGTGAATCTATCTCAAAGACAGAGTGAGCGGCTTGTTCATTGACAAATCGATATCGGATGTGGGCATTGGGTGGAGAGTCCACATCGGTGGCCCTCAGCTGCAAAATGGGATAGCCTTCTTCTACGTTTTCCCGGATCGTCTCTCTGTACTCACTCTGCTCAAATACTGGGTTATGGTCATTTCTATCTGCAACTGTGATTGCAACCATGGTGGTGGCAGAGAGACGGGGAATCCCATGATCTATAGCAGTCACTCGGAAGTAATGTAGGTCCATAATTTCCCTATCCAAAACTTCAGTGGTACTGATGAGGCCATTTTGGGAATCAATGCTGAACAGTTCCAGTGACCTGCTGTTCATCAGAGCATCCATGGAATAGACTAGCCGCCCAGCTTCCCCCGAATCAGAGTCTTGGGCTGCCACCGTTATCACTGGGGTGCCTGAAGGCTGGTTTTCAGCCACCTGGACTTGATAATTATACTGAGGGAAGAGGGGGTGACGATTGGCTGCCCTCCGAACCCTCAGCAAGGGCAGAGGCGCCCCTTCTCTTCGGCTCCTCTTCTTGGCACACGTGGAATAGGTTATTTCCCTCTGAGGAGCTGGGTGAGGGGCTTTTAAGGGCAGGGAGGGAAAGAATCCAGGGATTGATGGACTCCTAAAATTCACCTCAAAACAAAGAGTTTGTAAACAGCCTTTGGTCGAGTGGAATGGAGGGAAAGAGAAGAGGAGCTCGCGCCTTCTCCAGTCTACGTTGGGATTGGCTCCCAGAAAAGCAGAGGGAGCTGTCCGAGCTGCTGAAACCGCCGAAGCGGCTCTCGCCCAGCCTTTTCTGGTCCAGGTACAAAGGCAGCATCGTTCCGGGCTGCTCCCACAGCACTCGCCGGCGCAGCAGCAGCTGCGGGAATTTCCACGGGGCAGCGGTTGCCCCAGGCAGAGCTGAAGGCAGGTCAGCAGGGTGAACCACCTGCAGAAAGGCGAACGGGCTCCCGGGCGGGAAAAGGAAGCCAGTCGCATAATCGAGGACCACGGAGGCATAGAGGGACTGCCGCCTTTTCTCTTAGCTCGGCTGGCCGAGCGCTCGGAACTCCCCAGCAAGCAGAGGTCGGTGCAGTTCTGAAGGCGGCGAGATAGCTTTGTACCCAGGTGGAATCGCCGGAGACGGGTTGGAGTCCTGTTAAAACGATTTGGAGAGGGATCCTTCATCCCATTGGACACCCCATTGTCCGGCTGGCTCGAGCCCCTCCTAGGGCGTTGATTGGAAGGGCTCGAGTAGACGCCCATCTGCGCGGAATCCACCCCAACCCCAGCGAGCCTCGCCAGGCATGCCCAGGTAGTCCGCGCACGGCTTTTCCCGAGCCTTGCCGGCCTCGGAAGATCCGGAAGAAGTGCGGAAGCATTTATAATCCACAAGCAAGAGGAAGCGCTGCCCGGCTCTCCCAGGGTACCAACCGGGCAGCGGATCGTCCTCTTTTCCCAAGGTGGGGTCAGGGATCCCCCGCGAGAAAAGCTGCCGTTCTTCTTCCCTTGCCCCGCCAGAGGTTGCGAGAGGGAGCCCGCGCAGCACCGATCGTCCTCCCGGAGCCTGGCGGACGGCGAGGTTTCCTTTAGTTCCCCGAAGAAAGCGCAGCCCGGCCAACCACCGCTCGGCTTCGCCCGGTGGATGCAGCCCAAGCCCCCTCTGCCCGCTGGCTTTCCCAAGCTGAAGCGAAACAAAGGGAGAAGCAGGAGCAGCAGCAGCAGCTCCAGGCGGCGATCCTGGCGAGGACGGCGCTGGTTTGGTCCCGGAGGTTGAGGCGGCGGTTCAGCCATGGTCCCTCGGCTCTTTCCCCGCCCCCCTGGCCGGCTGCCCTGGCCTGGCGCTTCTCCCCCGGCCCCGCCTCGCTTCGAGCTCTGCCGCCTTGCCAGGTTCGGCTGCCGCCACCACCATCTATCTGGAAGCGGCGCTGCCGCGGCTTTTTCCGCGGCTCTCCCCGCTCCGTGCCGACGGCGGAGGCAGCGACACCGCCTCCTCCCGCAGCCTCAACATGGCTCCCGGCTGCCCCGATGGTCCGTTCCGCCCTCCCGGCTAACCCCCCTCTTGTCGCCCTACCGTGGTAGCGCCCACCCTTATAGCGGAGACGGGTGAAGCAAACCCCTCCGCCATCTTCACTGTGGGCAGGTTGGGTCGTGGGGATGGGGGTGGGGAGCGGGGTGGCGGGGTGGAGGAAAGAGGCTGGGAAGATGAGGGTGGCGATCGTCTCGCTAAGACTGGCGAAGGGATGTGGGTAGAAAGGCCGCTAAGATCCGGAGGAGAGGATCGCGTCTGGATTCCATTCGGGCCTTTCGACCGTGGAGGGAGCTGTCCAACGTGTTGATTTAGAACTCCGGGATCCAATCAGGGATGGCAAAGCAGTTGACGGCGACTGGATAGAGGAAGGCTGGGCGATCATCCAGGAGGGTGTTTGGTCGCATGGGCGTGTCCTGGAGAGCCTCTTCTACCCAGGCACGCCCCCTTCCAGTTGTGGTAGTAGTAGGACAGGTACCAGAATCCGCAGCCAGTCATGGTTGACTTATCTCCTCTGGAGGAAACCTAGGGGAGCAAAGCTGCCTTAGCGCTATTGATTCCTTAGTTTGTTTTGCACACATTGTCAGGTGAAAGAGAGTCCCCCTTTCTTTACTACATTTACGTATGGGCAAAGGAACAGAACCTTATATAGTAAATTATATATGTCCTACCAGTCAATGACTACTTCAGCTTCAACCGTAACAATACAAGAGCACACAACAGATACAAACTCAATGTAAACCGCTCCAAACTTGACTGCAGAAAGTACGACTTCAGCAACAGAGTCATCAATGCTTGGAATACACTACCGGACTCTGTTGTTACATCCTCTAACCCCCCACTCCTTTAACCTCAAACTATCCACTATTGACCTCACCCCATTCCTAAGAGGTCTGTGCCATAAGTGCACAATCGTGCCTACCGTCCCTGTCCTATTGTCCCCATTTATTTGTACCTATTTCCTGTATTCTTATTCATGTTTATACTTATACCTATTATCTTGCAAGTGATTGACAAATCAAATCAAATAAATAAATAAAATGAGCAAGTGTAAGGATTCATTGAAGAAAAGGGTTGAACTAGGGGGTCCTTGGTGCTCTCTGAGCTTGGTGGTTTTCTTGCAGACGTTTTAATTATCCAACTGGGTAACACCATCAGTGCTCCTGTAAGGACTCACTTGAGAGGTTCTTACTCCTGTCGTAGAACATACAAACTTTACCTTCTGTAGGTGTTATTGTGCTGGTTAGAGTTATAGTGCTAATTACTTGCTAGAAAACAATAGATGCTATTATGTTTTCTATTTGTTCAAATACCGACATTTTTTTTCAGTTTCCATACGAGCCTAAAAAAAGGGATGATGATGAAGATGATTGATAAATCTAAGGGTTGCACTGAAGAAGCCCTGTTTTCATTATTTGTTTCATTAAAATGAACATTTTTCCTGCTTCACACAAAAACCTGAAAAGACAGGCTACTGTACTAGGAAAAGTGCAATGTCCATACTTGGGACAAAGTCTAATTTTTTAAAAAAATAACTTTCAATGCTTTGTGTAGTCTAATGTGTTTTAAGGCAGGGGTATCAAAATGGCGGTTTGCTGGCTGGATGCATCATGCACAGGTTATGTCCACCCCAGCTCCACAAATGGGAAAAACATCATGAAACATCATCTGACAGCAACGTGATGCGGTGAGCTTGACACCTGTCTTCTAAGGTGCTAATATTCTGACAGGAGACAAAGCACTTTTAAGTATAGCTCAACACCCTACTACACCGAAGACAGCAAATACTTCATTTGGTTTTGTTTTACTGTGTGTTCTACTAGCAAAAGTTAAGACAAATTCCAGGATTTGATCATGGAACCAGCATACTGAAAGCAAAGTGCAGTAGTTATGATTCATCTCTATATATATAAAAATGAAAAAGCACTCACACATCATCACAAAATGTCCAGAATGGTAGAGCTGACAAACTTGAAATTTGGCACGTATGTTCCTCTTGGCTTCTAGGTGCTCATTAAGAAAGGATTTTTTGAAATGACCATCACACACGCTCTGATGCTAAGGAGTTCTACTCCCCCTCCCCACCTGAAAAGAAATCCGTTCCAAATGCAAAACACAAGCAGAGGAGAGGAGTTTCAGTTTCAAGTTCACAGCACCAAGCAGCTTTAATACAGAACAGTTGAGCTAAGCCACACCCAAGCTCCTTGTTTTCTCCTTCTTGCTCACACAGCAAGTACTGTTTTGGTTTACAAACAGCCTTCAATTCTGTCACACATTAACAGGATGCTAGCCAGATGAATACTGATGGATGCTAGTAGGCAGAGGCAGAATTTTTTTCTTTATTTTCTTCCCTCAAAACTAAGCCTGGCCACATAGTTTTGTAGCAAAATACGGGTATCGAGCTAGTTATTAATAATGTTGATTGAACGAAGCAAAATTGTTAAGATAGTATAAAACATGGAAAAAATAGAATGGCAATTTAATGTGACTTTAATTGTTAGAAACCTCAAACAGCAACTTCCCTTTGACAAGTTCTGTAATTGTTAAGCTGTCTCTCTGTAAGGACCCTGGATACTGAGTTCAATCACAATTTGCTATTGTGAGTGAGCTACTACCACTTAACATCCTTAGAAATATTGTGACACCTGCTTTGAAGGAAGACAGAGTCGGGTTGCAACTCTTCTAACAAAATTAGATTTCTCCATACCTGCAAAATACATATAAGGTTATAGCAAGCATGCATGTAACACATAGAAGGCTGGCATGAACACCTTTGCTTCTGCTTTGAGTTAATGGTAAGAGTTTTTTTTTCTTTCTTGTTTGTTTTCAATATTAAGGCTACCTGTTGTAGTTGAAAAAGTCTTAATGGCTTAATGGTCTTGATAGCAAAGGAAGTTTTATACTTCTTCAAAATTGTCATCTGGATTTTTGTAGCCGAAATCTGGCAGTTCTAGTAATATTCCTGTAATATTTTTTTCTGAGGCTGGGAAAGAGGCAGGAATTGTGGAAGATATTGAAGGTCCAGCATAGATAGAAATTCCTCCCTTATCTGGTACATCTCTAGCTGCATCACCTATTCATCAAAGAGAATGAAGAAGACAAAGGGGATCCTAAATATGAAAGTATTTAGTTGTCAAGGGTCTTGTGTGTGTGTGTGTGTGTGTGTGTGTGAGATGAAGGGGAATCTAGTATTAAGAGAAATCTGAAAGATGTAAGGGTACTCAAATTAGCTTAAAGGAGATAACAAGAGTGATGTTAAGGCAGAGGAAGAAGTAAGTAGAAAGATGGACATAAGAAGATGGTGAAGAATAAACCTACAAGGAAATGTTCAGTAGAGCAAACTGAAAATTGATGCTTCTTGGTCATGAGCTGTAGGCTATGGGTGTACCAAAGCTTATTTTGGGTTACAGTGGTAAATAATTTTAGTTCCCATTAAAGTACAATTCTACATTAAATTGTTTTTGCATCAGGAGCTGAGAATTCGGAAAAAGAACAATGAGAAGCAAAGGGGAGGAGGGAGGAGTTTATACTGCTGCTTTTAGAAAAGGTGTTAAGAATATATAAAAAGATGCCTGTGCCATATGGAAATAGTCCTGCAGATATGAGCATAATTTGGCCAGATTTAAAGCAGACTAATTAAAATCAATCTATCACACTTGTAGACTACTCAGGATGACTCTGGGTCATATTAAAATCATAAATAATCAGTCCATAAATTAAAACCGCAAAAAGGAAAAGATGCTTATAGAAAAAGACAACAGACACAATCAAACAGTAACAGTCTCAAACAGCAAAATCAACCCTCAATGGGCTTATACCATACTTAGGCCCAATGACTAAAGAAAAATCCAAGCCTTAACGATTATCTAAAAGAGAGAGGGCCCACGCTCTTCAGATTACTGGGAGGAATGCTATTCAGTGCTAGAAAAGCCCACCTCCTGGACCCCATCAGATGAATTGCTTTAATAGACTGCACTTGAATCATGTCAGATATTATGGGATGGGTAGACGTTATAGGAGGAAGATGGTCCCCCAAGAAACAAGGCTGCATGTTATGAGAAGCTTTACAAGTGATACCAGCTTTGAATTGTACTTTGGAAGTCTGTTAATAACCAGTGTAGATCACAAAACACAAGCATTCTGTCGGCATACCATGACACGTGCAAAACTGCTTGTGCCATTGTATTCTCCATGATATAAAACTTCCAAGTGGTCTTCACGGCCATCCCTATGTAGGAGAGAAAGGGAGGGAGGGGATAGGGGGGTGGGGGAGAGCAGACAGCAGACAGACAGATGATAGATCACACAGATTTCTGTAAAAAATCTTACTGGTCATAGCCTCCATGTGCTCCCCAAGAGTTGCTATGAGTCTGGGATGGTCTCTAAATTGTGCATCAGTTCTGTCTGGAAAAGTGCAACCCAGTAAACCTAAACATGGAGAATCCCCAGAAGTGGGAAGTCTATGAACCCAGAGCCACTTTTTCTCCATCTAGAACTTCACAGCTTCTAGATACTGGGAGAAGACTTTGGCAGCATCACTTGGTTGACCAAGAATCCAGATATCCAACTGAGGACCATCAGCACATTGATCATCGCCGACCTTGGTTAACAGATGCTAAGAATTTAAATTACAGTAGTAAAAACTAATACAAACTAACATTAAAAAAATAGAATGGAAAGAAAGAATAAAAAGTCCAGGGGAAAAAGAGAAAGAAAAAAATATAATAAAGAAAAAGAAATATATAAAGAGGTAATTCCAACCCTT